AACTTACCCACAATGTGACATGAATTTGGGAACCAAAAGTGATAAACAGAAAGAAAAAAAAAAAAGACAAGACAAGACCAGACCAGACCAGACCAGACCAGATCCAAGGCTGGGCTAGTGATCTATATATTTAATCCTAGCACTCGGAAGGTAGAGGGAGGCTGATCTTTATGAGTTTGAACCCATTCTGGTCTACAAAGAGACTTTCAGGATGGTCAGGGCTGTTATACAACGAAATCCTGTAAAAGGAAGAAGGAGGAGGAAGAGGAGGAGGAGGAGGAGGAGGAGGAGAGAGAGAGAGATGATGATGAAGGAAAAGAAAGAGAGAGAGAAGGAAGAGAAGGAAGAAAAGAAGGAGAGTAAAGGAGACTTCCCAGAGGTTGGAAGATTAAAACTAAAGCCCAAGGTTTGAAACATTGGCAGGCCAGAGTCTGTGAGGGGGAGGAATATTACACAGCTCTGGGTCATTCCTTTCCTATCTCCTGTTTAATTGTTGAGTAGCAGTTTCCTCTGACATTGAAACATTCTATTCTGCAGAGAAGTTTGTTGAACCAAAAGATAAACAACTAAAAGTAGCTTCAGGAAGTCCCTGAAACTGACCAAATTCACTGGGCCACTTACTCCCTAGAGTAAACAATAAAGACTACCAAGAGTCACTCTGGGACAAGGCAAACTGCAAAGAAAATTCACAGACAAGACCAGCTCCCTAAAAGAAGAAACCAACCAAGCTGCCTAGAAGAGGTTTATCCCAACAGAGTGGCTTGGAAAGGACACTCTCCAACCTATTAAGCTGTCTGCAGCCTGTGCAGTGTGCTCCAGGTTCCCAGCTTTTGTGAGTTGTCACCTAAGCTGGGGTAGGTTTTTGGTGATGCCTTTGAGTTATTTCTGCTTCTGCAAGAAGCCCATCACCTACATTCCTGTAAGTAATAATAATAAAGATTATTATTCACCAAGTTGTCTGTATTTGGTGTGTCATTGTTCCCTTTCAGGGTTAAATAGATATGTGTGTAGTGTCTTTCTAGTAAAAGTTTGATCTCATAACACCAGTCCCAGACAGAAGTCAAAACTCAAAGACAAAAAGGCTCTCTAGCTAAGATGAAGAAAGTAAATTACCATCCACCATCTACCTCACCACAGTTCCCATGTAACACCCATAGTACAAAGAATTGACCATGTCCCACCTTTAATCTGGTCATATGCAAATACAAAGTAAAAGGCTGTAATTTGCTTTTGTTGTTGCTGTTGTTATTAATAAACAGGTAGCTACAATAAGTCCATTCTTTCTCCTTTCACTGAGTCCAGGAAGACTGGATCAGCTTCGATGTCACATAATGTCCACAATGACTAGTTTGAAACTATTGCCATTCCAAACCTTCCCCTGGCTCCTACGGACTCCCAGATCTTCCTTGACACAACAGAGTGTCTGGGTGGCTGCTGCAGTGTCTGCAGAACCCAGCACCTGCTCTCGGCCACTTGATACCTGTTGTCATCTGTCAGGGCCTCTGTCTGTGCCAATCACTCCTAGAACATCCACAACCTTACCAGAACTTTGGTAAAGAACCAACAAATTATGCATGGCATAGCCCTGTCTAGGTGACATCTCCCATTTCATATGATGGTTAGCAAAACAGGACTAGTGCTTATGCTGTGTAGCACTTTACAATCCTAAACAGCCCACAGCATACCATTTTTAAATTCTCAGTATGCACTGTGATGTCCAATACAATAGTGAAATATCTATGGGATTTGCCCACATTCCCTCTTTATTGACTAGAAAGCAAGATTCTGCTGTTTTCACAGCAAAGCAGGTGTACAAAGGGCTTCTAAGCTGTTTGCAACGTTTATTTTTCTTCTAGATAAGGAGATGGGAAGTTCCCTTCGGGTAGAAACAGAAAGCATTCCTCCAAAACATAAAGGAAAGAAACTTCCATAGCTCTGTTACACAAAATCAAACCAGAGACCCTCTCAAACCTGGAGAAAAGGAAGAGAAAGAGGGAGGGACAGGAGGGAGAGAGGGAGGGAGGGTAAGAGGGAGGGAGAGAAGGAGGGAAAGGAAGGAAAATAGTAAGGAAGAATATACAAGAATGAATTCCTCTTTGCCTAACAACAAATCAAAAGAAATGTAAGAATGTGAGTTATTCATTCCAATCTGAGTATTGATGCTTCAGTAAATAACCCCAGAGGATCTAACAAGGCTGCCACTGGGGTGTTTCCAATTCCCAGATGACAAATGTCTCAACATGTAAGCATAGAGACAAAATTAAATTCACAAGCCACTGAATATTTATGTGAGCTAAGAAGCTACAGAACAGTTCATTCACAAACCTTCCCCCTGGTCATACACCATGTTGTTTCCCAGACGAGCACGCACCACCACCACATTAACTAAGGCCTTGTAAGAAAGGTACACCCTCAAGCCCTAGCCCAGAGCTGAATCACAAACAGGACAGAGATAGCAATACCAGGACTAACAGGACTTCTGGATTCTTCTGATAGGAGAAGGAGAATGTTGCTTGATCGTAGAGGATTCCCACAGACCATTATACTAAATGTGAAGGGGATGCAGTACTGCCAGTTTTATACAAAAGACAACAAAGGTTCAACACGTCTATTTGTCTAAAGTCACACTGCTGAGTGAGATAACCCAGATCTCTGATTCAAGATTTGGTTTTCTTTGTCTTGAAAGTGAAGCCTCACAGAGATGCAATAGAAACAGCCAAACAGATCAAACTGGCTTGGTGCTAAAAGGGGAAACTCAAACTAGGAGTACTGGAGAGGAGGATGCTCCGGGACTAGAAGAGAGGTACTAAGATTGTCTCCATGCCTACTAGTGAACGGATCAAAGAAAGCAAGAGAGCCAAGTGCCTGTAGCGTGCTTCTCTAAAGTCTAGTTAATTCGTCCTTGGGATGTAATCTGTTTTCTCTTTAAGAATACCTCAAGGCTGCCTCCCAAGTGTGTGCTTCCTTTGCACAGCCTCCCCAGGAACTCACTGCTGCCTTGATTGGAGAATTCTACCCACTTCTCCCTTCTCCTAGGGCTAGCTATTAGCTTCTCCATCATTCCCAGAGCATCATTTGATCTTGGTGTTTTGATGATTTTGGATCACTTCTATTTAGCATGTCCAGCCCATAATGGGAGAGCTTTTACCTACTTTCTCCATCATCCCCAAAATGTAGTTCAAGGTGGGCACTGATTAAGTGAGCTTGGAATGTTTGTGACTTAAGTACATGTAACACAAATCACCTACCTGGGTATCTATAACCTTCATTCTCAAAGTTATTTTCTCAAAAACTAGACTTTATGGAGAATTGATAAAATATAATTTAAAGACCATTAGTAAACAGAATTCCAGCGCTTATGGCCAAAACTACCTCCTTTTGATGCTGGGACTCTGCTCTCCTTTCTTCCCCTTCCCTTTCCCCCACACTGACCCCTTTTTGCCTCTCCCCTCCTCTTCTCTTTCTCTCCACTTTACCCTTTTCCTCTCTTTCTCAGATTCACCCTTCTGTTTGCTTTTTACCTAAGGATGTCTATGGACGAGAGCATTGGATTTGTTGAACTGCACTTTCCTTTTGTTTTCTTGACAAAAACAATCCATCTGTGTCTGATTTATTGTTTAGATTCTATTCCATTTATAACAGCCTCCTGTCCAATTAGACTGGGACAGAAAGGAGACAAGTGCAAAGCCCGTGGTAAAGAGGATGTGTTCACATCCTTGCCTACATCATTTGGTAATTGGCAAGAGATTTCAAGGAGGCTGTGGCTCTTTTCGTACTGCAAGCTCAGTTTGCGCTTCCAACTGGACAAAATATAGACACGGATGCACTCAGCTAAGTAATTGGATTCACTACCTGGAATATTTAAATTGTTTTCAGACACTGGAAATTGGCTTAAGAAGATTAAAGTAAAATACCCGGGAGGATAACAGGCTGTAATTTACGGAGGTGGGAAATCATCTCAGTTAGAAGACCGGTTCATTCTCTTGCAGTTGTTCCTGATAGGAGATGTGTTAATCATTAGTACTGCAAATTTCTTTAGATCTTGACAGCTTAGGTTTATTCGGATGAGTTGTTTTATCAAACCCATTGGATGGCACCCAGGAAGCTACATTGATAGTGTAGTGTGCCCCTTTAGCGTTTTCAATAAGAAGCCTTTAAGTGTTCTGAAGGTACCTACGGTGAAGGGAAGGGAGAGGTCATAGGAAGTCTTGGAGCTGGCCAGGATATCTCCTATACAGCAAAGGGTGCAAGTAAATCAGAGGATGAAGTTGTGGGTCTATTTCAAAGTGAAGACTTAGCAACCTCATTTCTCAAAACCTGGTCCTGTCTGCAAGCCCATCCTGCGCTCCTTGGCCCTAACAGCCCCTCTTTTGGTCACTAATCAGCTTCTGGTGTGCACTCATAACCCTTTCCAAGGCCCCTCACTCCGCAGCCAGGCGCTAAAGTTTGGCATCAGCGACCACCTGTCGGCTGTACCGCTGTGTCCTCTGCTACGTGGCCAGCATTAAAAAAAAAAAAAATACTCAAGGGCTAGCGATATCTGCAAGATTTTGGACCTGGATGGCAGGTAGTACTTCTTGAAAGAGAGCAAAAGAGGTAACCGGACGCCTTAGCTAGCTGAGGAGGTGTGGGGTGTAGGGGTGCGTCTAGTTCTTTCCAGCGCTATCCAGCTGGTCCTAACTTCATGCTCTTTCCAAACTCTCAGGACCTGTCACTGGGTAAAACCTGTCCCTCCTGCTCCACTGGCCCCAAAGACTTAAGTCCCTCAGGAGGTGCTGGCCAGACCCAGCAAAGATGTCAACTCTAAAACCCCTAGGAGGAAGACAGCGCGCGAAAAGCTACCACCCTCTGCCACCCACCCAGGCAGCTGGCAACCTGTGCGCCCCGGGCTGCCCGCGCCCGCTCCAGCGCCCCATTGCATAACGCGCCCCTCGCCCCACCCCCACGCAGCCCGCCCTCGGGTGCCCGGCCCGCACCCCACCGCGCCGCCCCTCACTTACATCATCCCACTTGACGAATTTGGTGCCCTTCTTGAGGCTGTCAGACACGCACACAGGCTTGAGTTGCAAAGCGTGCACTCCGGGCTGAGCCCCAGCCATCTGGGCTCATCGGGGCTCCGGGCGGCCCGGGCGAGCGCAGTGGAGACGGGACGCGGAGCTCCGAGCGCGAGCGGGCTTGGCTCTCGGCTCAGCAGGCTCTGGGCTCCGCTGCCCGCCGGCCTCCCGGCCTCTTGGCCTCAGCACCTCTGGCCCGCGCCGCTTAGTAAGCGGGACGACACGCGAGGGTAGAGCAGCCTGCCATGCCCCGAGCGGGACGCAGGGTCTGGAGCCCGCGGTGACTGTAAAGCCTCGGGAGACGCTGAGGAGCAGAGCCCGGCAGTGCGAGCCGCCCGCCGCCAGATCCTGCTCGGCCGCTGCCTGGAAGCGCACCATTCAGCACATCCTCTGTGCACAGAGGGAGCGCGCGAGTGACACGCTCCGGTCCCCTCCTCCCTCCGCTCCTCCCGCCCCTGCTCCGCCACCCTCGCTCACGGTCCTCCTCCCCCAGCTCCCTGCCCAACTTTGCGCGCTGGGTCAGCGACGGGAAGCGGGGACGCAGCGGCACCTCCCGGCTCCCGGGCCCCACTGCAGCCAACGCCTGCGCCGAACACCCTCTGAGCATGCCCGGTGCCCGAAGTAACGCTGCTGTTTGGGGGGCTTTCTGGGAACCTGGACCCGGTTACGGTTGGTGCTTAATCAGATCCTAACCTGTATGTAAAGGACGTTGGGGAGGAATGGGGAGAAAGCCCTAGGCTTTCTTTCTCTCTGGTGCTCTCCAGCCTTTTCAAAGAGAGAGTTCTTATTTTTTATAGAGGAGAAGCTCTTGAGAGGTTCCAGAGAAACCTCGCCCCACCAGAAAGTTAGCAGCCTATAACCTGGATGGCCCACAGTGTTTGAGAAATAAAAAGTTCAGGGTTGGGAGCAAGGGGGCGGGGAGATGCTTTTATTTCCCCAGGAAGATGAAAGGAGTGGGGCCTAGGGAAGGGTGGGAGTCATATAGAATTATTGTGTAGAGATAGAGGGAAATCTGTCTCCACGCACAAGTTTGATACTGTCAAGGATTTGAGAGCTTGTAGAGCAACTAAAATCTTCGTCCATCACAGGGGTAGAGGGTATAAAGTGGTAAATCTACTTTAGAAAATAATCTCTAATAAAGTTAAACATCATCTGTGTTACTTATCACACAACCCAGAAATTCTACTCCTAAGTTTTTGCTCAAGAGAAAGGAAAACATTCACAGACTTGTCCAGTAATGGCAAAGGCAACTGAAAATCTTAAAACGTCAAACAACAGGTGACTAGAGAAACAAACTTTAGCACATATGTATGTTCCCAAAACTAGAATACTATTTCGTGATGAAAAGGGACAGACATTCCAAAGCATACCCACGATCCTACAAAGTTTAAGCTTAGTGAAAGAAGCCAAACAAAAGCGTGCAACAAGACGCCCTCTGCAGGATCTGTAGAATAGGCCAGGTATCCGGTGGTGACAGGAAGTAGATTATGTAGGTACCTGTGGCCAGTGATGAGCAAAAAATTGGCATAAAAGGCAACCTTTGAGAATGATGGAAAGATTTTGTATCTGTGTATTTACATTTGTCAAGCCTAGTAAGACTAGACGCATAAAATGAGTGAATTTTATCTTAATAAATATTGCCATAAAGGCTAATTTTGGAAAAGAAGAAACAGTATAAAGAAGTGGCTCCAGTAAAATGGTTTCAGGCAGTCAAGACACTTGCCAGCAAGCCTAATGGCTAACTTCATCCCCAAACTCCACGTGGTAGAAAGATAGAACTGACTCCCCAACTTTGTCCTCTGACCTACACACCTACACCTTGGTATACTAGGGTATACACACACACACACACACACAAAGAAAAAGGAGAAACATGACTACTTTCAGTGTCCTTAGTTCTCAGGTTCTATTGCAGCAATGAAACACCATGACCAAAAAACAAGTTGGGAAGAACAGGGTTTATTTGACTTACGTGTCCAGATCATAATGCATCATTGGAGGAAGTCAGGACAGGGAATTCAAGCAGGGCTGGAACCTGGAGACAGGAGCTGATTCAGACCATGGAGGAGTGCTGCTTACTGGTTTGCCTACTCATGGCTTGCTCAGCCTGCTATCTTGTAGAACCTAAGACCAGTAGCCCAGGAATGTCACCATCCATAATGGGCTGGGATCTCCCTCATTGATCATTAATTGAAAAAAATGCCTTAAAGCTGGATCTCATGGAGGCATTTCCTCAACAGAGGCTTCTTTCTGATGACTCTAGCTTGTGTCAAGTTGACACATAAAACCAGCCAGTACACCAGGTCACTGTAGATCAAAGTTTATAAACTCAACCAGAAGACTACTAAATATATCTGAAAAGATAAGGGTGAATTCCAGTGCTAGATGGTTTACCTGATATGTATAGAATACTGGTGTGAATCCCACATACCAAGTAAATATACATTCATAGACTGACAGATGATAAATTATCAATAGATAAGATGGATAACCAGCTATATTCTTAGAGCTATCATAATTAAGGAGTTAGGACTCCTGTTATCTTTGGAGGCCTTGTTTTGTTCTTGAAGCAACTTCATACACACACACACACACACACACACACACACACACACACACACTGGCATTAAAAGACTGTCTTATTTCATTCTGGTTCTCCACTACCAAAGTACAAGATGAGTCTGATGCCCATAGTCCTTCCAAGTAGTGGCCTTGACTCACTAGCTATCTCACAGAAGGCCATGCCCTCAGATTGACATTTATCTTTATCGTCAATGACCGTAATAAGTCTCTTCTTCCAAGGCTCCAGACGATCTCAATTATCCTTACCGCACGCTCTACCAGGTTGCTCTGTTCTAGTCTGGTCTTTCCTTTTTTTGTTTCTCCCTCAATTATTTCATCATCCACTGATCTAATTATTGAGCAGAAAGCTTTAGTTGGAGTATCTTAGGAAGTTAAGATAGACTGGGGTTGCTCCCTAAAAGGTACTTTAGGAACCTTAGGCCAAAGCACTAGCTGAACGATTCCGAGCCATGCCATAATGGAATCCCTCCTATCCATCAGCAAACCCTAAATTGTTTAGCTGGCAACCATGCTTAGGGTTGAATTATGAAACTAATTATAATCCTTCCATTTTCCTCCACTGACCTTTGTCTGTAACTGCTTGAGAGGGTACATAAGGGAGTCAAATCTAACGAATAAGGTGGGCGCTTATATTTAATAAGGTTGGGTATTTCTCGGGGAACTCTCTCATATTTATATCCCTTCTCCTCTCTCTTCTTTCCCTATTGTTTGCCCTCTTCCCCTTCCTTACTTTCTCTCCACTGAATAGGACATGCAAAAAGAAGGAAGAGAAGAGAAGAGAAGAGAAGAGAAGAGAAGAGAAGAGAAGAGAAGAGAAGAGAAGAGAAGAGAAGAGAAGGGAAAAATAGTGTTCTTCCTGGACTCCATAAGTCTCTAAACCATTTCTAGACTTTCTGATACATGTCATAATACATATCTTTACAAGTTAACCTTTCCTGCTGCTCTTAGCTGATCTGCCATATAAAATAATTAACCTTTTGTACTGGTTAGATTTACAGTCAATATAGCCTAGAATCACTTGGACAGCCAGTCTCCTCTTAGTAATTATCTCCATCAGGCTGGCCTGTAGAGAAGTCTTTAAGGGATTATCTGCCTTGTTAACTGGTGCAAGAGGACCCAATCCATCATAGACAACACATTCCCTAGGCTGTATCCTGAACTGTGTGAGAGTGAAGAAAGGTATGCAAATGCAAGCAAGCAAACAAGGATGCCCATATTCTCTATTCTCAATTGTGGATGTGGTTTGATGTATTGCTTGTGTTCCTGCCTCAACTTCACCAAAATGATAGACTGTGATCTAGGTCACAGAGCTAGGAACTGATGTTAGAATTCTGACATACTACGTTCCTCTGGGTAGTGTTTTTTTAATCTATTTTTAACATACACAAATATTTCAAATTCTTTAGAAACTGTATTATAGCACACAAATTTCTGTAATCAGTTTGTAAGACAGTAAGGCTTGGTACACTGGGAAGGACTTGGGTAATGCCTCCTAATTATTCCAATTACTAGCCGTGGGAAAAGTGATCATTCTTTCTGAAATGAAATGTGCTAGTATGTAAATAATGATGATGATGGCTAATTTCTGGTCCTTTTCCAAAGAGTTTTATACCCTCCATGGTTTAACCCTCCTACTAACCCTATAAACTGTGTTTATCTTTATTCTATACTTAGGGAAAATGAGTCAGAGAAACAAGAAATGATTACCCCAAATTTTCTACCAAGTACAAAAAAAAAAAGTCAAAATCCCAGACTAGGGAATTTGGTTCTGTTGGGGTCCAGGAATCACCTCACAAACCACACAAACACCAATCTCAGTCAGACAGGGAAAGTTTATTGAGTGTATGCCACAGGCCTGGTCAACCAGGACCCCAAGCTAAGATCCTACAGGATTTTTAAGTCCAAAACACTACAAACTTCTGTGCCAAGTTATCTTACCATTCAGGATTTAGGGATAAGGGGATTTCCTTAGGAACATGTCTTTGTTGTACACTTATTCTGCTCCCACTGGTTGGGGTATTTAACTGTGGCAGGGGACTGCCTTGTCTAATATTCATGTCCTAACTTGTCCACCAGGATGGGACTTGTCTAACATTCACGTATTAACTTGCCAACCAGGATGCTAGTTAACCACATACATGTCTTTTTCTGCCAGGTAGGATGTCAGTTCCCAGGAAGGTCTTGGGAACTTAAAATTTACTGGACCACTTCTGAAAATAGAAGTCTTATTCCAAATAATTTCTTTTTGTTTGTTTGTTTGTTTGTTTTTTGTTTTTGTTTTTGTTTGGTTTTTCGAGACAGGGTTTCTCTGTGTAGTCCTGGCTGTCCTGGAACTCACTCTGTAGACCAGGCTGGCCTCGAACTCAGAAAACCACCTGCCTCTGCCTCCCAAGTGCTGGGATTAAAGGCATGCACCACCACTGCCCGGCCCCAAATAATTTCTTATATTGGTGCCGGTGTTT